GCCGGACACCCCTAAACTTTAATAAATTTTAATTATACTTTCGTTATACTATAAAAGCTGAATTTTATATATGTTACTTAGGGACTTATAAAAATATGTTACCCCAATAGCCAGACAGTTTTAATGGTTCTTACATCTTGCCGGACACATTGAGAGCCCGCTGTGCGAGCGCGAGGTAGCAACTGTTCATGCGGGTGTGAGTGAGACAGAGTGCTTAGTTTATTGTGATCTTTTACTGCACATCAGCTGTCATTTCTGGGATTTATCGTGCATTCTTCAGGAAAGGAAAATTAAAACCATATAAAACATTAAAAAAATATCCAAAGTACGAGGAAACTTTCAAGAATTTCCGTAACAGCGAATCAATTGAAAATTTAGATCAAGAACAAAACATCTATAATATCATTCAGATTTATATGCAATGTTTACAATGTCCGTAATGTAATTGATGTTGATGCTGCTCGACTTGAAATATTCATCGACTCGTATACAGTCTGATGTAAACGAAGCTTTTCTTGAATTTCTTTCAAGAAATTGCGAATTTTTTACGTTAGCAATCTACCAACTTGTAAAAGCGAGCTATTGCAGCAATTTTTGCGACCAAATTATATATATAAAATTTGGAATAGTGCTCATCTAAAAAATCCAACCTCATATCAACCCGGATAATAATGGCAGGGTATTGAAAGATGACAAATACCAAGTTATGTTGGAGATTCGCTCAAAACTCAATCAGGTATGTAATTATTATGACAAATTATTGCACATAATTTTTTAATTATTCAAATTGTATACTTTTTCTTAATTTTTTTCAGAAACTGATGGATAAGGTATTGGATATTGGTGACAATAGACTAGAGTAACTGTAGTAGCGACGATGAAGATAACGAAAATATCGACGACAATGAGGAAAATTATAAGAACGATTAAATATTTTTCTTTGACATGTAATAATATTTTGTTTGTACTTTATAATATTAAAATAACATTTTTTACTTTCTATAACATTGCTATGAACGTAATAAAATTATTTTTTATTGGATATCTTAAAAGATCACAATAGACTAAGCACTCTATCTCACTCACACCCGCATGAACAGTTGCTACCTCGCGCTCGCACAGCGGGCTCTCAATGTGTCCGGCAAGATGTANCTATGAACGTAATAAAATTATTTTTTATTGGATATCTTAAAAGATCACAATAGACTAAGCACTCTATCTCACTCACACCCGCATGAACAGTTGCTACCTCGCGCTCGCACAGCGGGCTCTCAATGTGTCCGGCAAGATGTAAGAACCATTAAAACTGTCTGGCTATTGGGGTAACATATTTTTATAAGTCCCTAAGTAATATATATAAAATTGAGCTTTTATAGTATAACGAAAGTATAATAAAAATTTATTAAAGTTTAGGGGTGTCCGGCAGGGGGTAGCAACTGTAAAAAGTGTCCGGCAATAGATATCGTGATTTCTAAAGATATTCTGGAGTAATTAATAAAAAAAATAACTTTATACTTTAACGAATTTAAGGTACTATTTTATATACCTTTACTGCCTGTTACCTGCCCAAGCAACCACAATCGGAACTCTATAGTCGGGGGTCGTTCTTACCTGTGCTGGAGACATACACAGGGAAACTTTCAGCTTTTATAAAATAACGAAGGTCTGGCTGTCGCGGGCTCTTGCTCTATATATTCTCTATAAGTGTCTCTCTATAAGTCTCTATAAGTTTCATACTCCTCCGTCCGCGCAATTTTCGTAAAAAGGGATACAAAGTTTTTGCTTCACGTATTAATATGTAGATGTCAATGTAGATGTCTAACAAATGTCATGTCATATCAAAGAGAAAAGAAGAATTGTCAATATAATATCAAGTAACAACAAGTCAGTTATACTCGTAAAACAACAAATGATGGGTGAGGTGAGTCTCAGTTCTAACACTTGTAGACTCGCCCGGCTGGCTGTCCACCCTTCTAACTGTAATGCTGGAACTGGAATGAATTACTGCTTCATGGTAAAATTAGGCAGAGTGACATTACCTATTCGTGGAGGTTCACAAAACGCCACCCATCACCACTAATTACGCAAATTCTAATATTAGAGGATTTGACTTTTATTCTTATATGTCTTCCTTTCTTAATTCACTCGGTATATAATAAGGCTCTGAATAAAATAAATAAATAAATATACCTTGCAGATCTGTGGAAAATAGCTCAGCGGATATCAAGGGAGAGTCTTCAGAATGGCGGACTGGTCACCATTTCTTTTGGACCGAAGAAAGTTTATGGTAAACGAATTTTGTTATTATTCTTCACAAGCAACGCGTCGTATCTTGGCGTCGTAATGTTACGACATTCCTAGTCGTAGAAGTCGTCGTGGCCTAAAGGATAAGACGTCCGGTGCATTCGTATGTAGCGATGCACCGGCGTTCGAATCCCGCAGGCGGGTACCAATTTTTATAATGAAATACGTACTTAACAAATTTCACGATTGACTTCCACGGTGATGGAAAAACAGCGTGTAATAAAAATCAAACGGTAGGCAGCGGCTTGGCTCGGTAGGCAGCGGCTTGGCTCTGCCCCTGGCATTGCTGAAGTCCATGGGTGACGGTAACCACTCACCATCAGGTGGGCCGTATGCCCGTCTGCCTACAAAGGCAATAAAAAAAACCCGCAAAATTATAATTTAATTTTTTTTTTTATTATTAAGGTGGGCTGTGAGCTTGTCCACCCATCTAAGCAATAAAAAAAATATATTCACATAATTTTATACGTGACGCCAATCAAACAAAAAATGATGCCAGCAAAATGTATATTTGTTGCCAACGAAACACATACACGTACTTAATTAAGTGCAAACTGACCTGGCCAATATGCAAATAGCAAACTGTTGACGTAAATGCTAATTAGTTTTTTACACGAAGAAAAAAAATAATGTTTCTTGGAAAATTTATCAACCACTATGAAACGTGTTAGTAATTAATGCTTCGTGCTGGAACAGATTCGTGTGTTTTGATTACTAGATAAGTCTTTGCCATTTATAGGTATATATATAACTAGCTGTACCCGTCCGCTTCGCTGGGCATTTAAATTTAAATTATTAAATTTAAATTATTTCTCAACCCCACAAAGATTCTCATCATTAACGCCCCCGCAACTGGTGTAGGGAGTCCAACCCTCATATAAATATTAGCCTATCCATTAAGTACATGTATTTTCTACATGGATACCAAGTTTCAAGTCAATCGGATGCATGGTTCAGTAGTTATAACGGAACATCCGTAAAAACCACTGTAGATTTATAGATTAGTATAGATGTGTTATTTTATTCACATCAAAATAAAGTTTAGCCCAGTAAAACTATAGCACAAACTGAGTTGCTCTATAAAGAGAAACAAAAATTAAAGCTATTGCTACGACTTAAAAAAAAAATAACGAGAACGTTAAAAAACTCGCACTAAGCACACTGATCCCTTTTTTTTTCCTTCCTATGCTGATAGCCTTGAGAGGCTATTTCAGCTTCACCCTAACGTTTGTAGGTGAGCTCTCGGGGCTCAACCGGAGAGTTGCTAACACTGACCCTAGCAAGAGCAGTGCTTCGCAGAATCTACCACCGGATCGGAAACGCGACCCACTGAGAAGATCCGGCGAGAAACTCAGTGGGCTGTGTCTATGGGTTAGTTCGCTCGTCGAGCCCTTCGTCGCAAGCGACAGGTTCGACGAGGACGGTGACCGGTGCTTGTGGTGCCTAAAAGCACCGTTAATGGATCAGGAGGATCCGTAATGACGTGCTTTGGGCGAAGTCAACGGTTTACCATTCGGTCTACTGGGTCGGGTATGTAATTTCCAGCGGCTACGATGAGAGGGTTCTCATGTCGTGCCGCCTTCTCAAAATGGCGCAGACACTGATCCCGAGAACTTCGCATGAAAACAAATTTATTCATTGCCAATGCGGGCGGACGAGCTTACGGCCCACCGGATGGTGGATGGTTACCGTCGCCCATGGACGTGAGCAAGCCGCTGCCTACCAATAACATACCATCCTTGAATTTATTTGGTTCTTGAATTTCTGGCTATCGTAAGTGTCACGTCGTGTCATGTTTTTACAGCTGTGACTGATCCAGAGGATATCAACACCGTGGCTAATTTGTCTATAGAAAAAAGTTACATCTATGGCTTCTCGAGGCCTTGGTTGGGTGGCGGCCTGTTCACTGCAGATGGTAAGCTAAGTTGTGTCGAAAACATTTGTAGTTTTGAATAATTAAACCAGAAAGAACTAAAACTGATCGCCGAAGAATGGAGGCTAGTAAAGAAATGTATTGATTCCAATTAAAATATTAACGAACCTAAACATTCCAGCTTTGACTAAGGTAATTTTCATTAGAATAATAAAAAAAAAAACTTCAGAGGTGTCAAGGGACACCCGGATGGAACGAAGTTCCTTTCGATTAATTAGTGAAGGAATTGTAATTTTTTTTAAGTTATAATAATAAATTACGGCATTATGAAGAAGAAAAAAACAATACTATGAACTAAATTACTAATAATTGTAGAAACGCTATCTCGAGAAACTGTACTCATTACGCGGACCAATCGGATACAAGCAATGTCACGCGATAAGCGCCTACACGTTGATTGGTCAGAATGACGGATCTAAAAAGTGTCGTGACAACTTTTCGTAAGAATTTCTTCCGTCTAGCCCCCTTTCACAACGCGCGATAAGGAACTTCGTTCCAATATTTAAGAATTTGTACAGTTCCCCGTCAGTCGGTCCGATTAACTGATGCAATAAAATATATAAGTAGAAATTGACTTATCGGTCTCCGTGAGGTCGTCGCGTCCCCTTGCCTATTGAGGCAGGGGTGATGAAGTGCAGGATTGAGAGTAGCAGGCTTGGTTGTGTGGGTTAGACCGACTTTTCTCTTCTTTTCTTCTCTTCTTCTATCTTCTGGCTTCTCTCCTCCATACATTTTTTTTCTTACTTACTTGGCGTAGGGGATACCGTGACCAATCATTGGTATAGTAAGGGGAGGATCTTGAATATTAATAGTGTGTTTTGGCATGTGAGTTCATGTTTAGTGTCAATAATAAAGGAGAATATCATAGCTTGAATCCGCAAAAACTTTCAACACATTTTTTTTGAAGTAACGCCTAAACTAAACAATCGTTCGTAGTTCTGACATGGAGAAACAACAGAAGACTTCTGAATCAAGCCTTTAAGCACACCATTTTGGATGGCTTTGTTGACGTTTTCAATAATCAAGCCAGGAGTCTGGTGGATGAACTTGCAGCAGAAGCAGACCTTGAAAAATTTTATATATTAAATAAGCTTTCGTTGCATTCTTTACGTTTGGTGTTTAGTAAGTATCTACATAATTATGTAAGGCATTATTTTACTCACTACATTTAGGGAAACAGAATTTACAGTCAGTTGTGGAGAGTATTAAGCGGTAGGCAGCGGCTTGGCTCTGCCCCTGGCATTGCTGAAGTCCATGGGCGACGGTAACCACTCACCATCAGGTGGGCCTTATGCTCGTCTGCCTACAAGACCAATAAAAAAAAACGTTTTGGGTAATCAGCTAGCTAATCAAAACATTTTTAAATGTTTAATGAATCCATTTAAACTTAAAATTCCAGAAACAATACTCGGAGTATCCGATCAAGAAGTAACTCCTGAAAAATTCAACAGTTATTTGGAGACAAATAATATCCTGCATAATATCTTCACAAAGAGGTTTCAAAAGTTCTGGCTGCATTCCGACATCGTCTTCAACAGGACAAAGTTGAAGATCGAACAGGATTATGCTGTGGCTGTGCTTCATGGGGTTAATGCCATGGTGCGCATTTAAAACATTATCCCCGACATGCGAGCTGTATAGGTCGTCCCATCTCGGCTAATCCCGTCGCTAAGCAGTTTGAAGGATGGGCAAGCCGTTTAGGACACAATCGAGATCCAAGTTGGTTTCTCTATGGGTTCCCGAAACATCGAACGTGTCGTGAGCTGGATTATACTGGTCCAGAGGCCTTTCCAGTTTAATCAGGACGGGTGGGCGAGTACAATGGCTTAGCCAGCCTGTAGAGATGGCATATTTTTTTTCTGCCCGAGCGATGTTTGGGTTAGGTTGCACGGCGAACTTTTTGCGGAATTCGAAGAGTTACCGCGGTCCTATCAAAGCATTATTGAAATATAGATACTATACGTTTACGGCTGTTCAACTGAAATAGTTTCAATGGTAGTGTATCATCACCGTCAGGATGCTGTGGGGTAATCGAAATAAAATGTATTAATGTTAATAGGTGCTGCAGAACAGAAAAGAAATAAGAAGATTGAATTTGGAAAATGGGACGCAGGATTATTCGGGTGACTACGACTAATTGAATTTATCTAATTATTTAATGTCCGCAAATCTATAGACCTTGACGGTTCCGTGACAACTTCGTATGCCGGTGGGGTGCTAATCTTGAATACTTACTCGAGATATTAATTTGTTTTCTATTCTTAAACCGGAATTATATAAAAAAAACTAATAACAATAAGCAAAAGATCCACAGAAGGCTTGACTATAGATGTCTGATACGAAAAAGGTATAGGGCTAGTAAACGAATTCAACGTGAGCCTGATGATAAATGGTACCAGAGTCCATTGAGTCCACCATTAATTTTTGGCAGTGCATACTGAGAGCCAGCCAATAGGTACTACCGCCGCGCTTCTTTCTGTTGCGAAGCGGTTATACATTTCTGTTTGAAGAGTGGGACAGCCGTTATACATAATATTGTTACGCGCTGGGGCTCGGGATAAATAAAATTCTACCGAATTACAAATTAAAAACTGTATTCAACACTATAACACTTAAAACACTTCATAAACACTTTAGAACTCTCAATTCGTTTCTTTCGCTTCGCTTCAGGTGATCCGTTCGCTGTTTCGCTTCGAGTAGTTTCGATTACTAACTGACTGCGTGCCATTTCTGCAACGCTTTTATAGGCACATCCCTAGAATTATCGAGAGTATTCCACACATCTCTAGTATTGTTTCCGCTATCTGACAATAGATGGCGTTGTACTTCTCGAGCGCTCTAGGTGCTACTAGATCCTTTGATATTCGTTCGACTATTCGGCGATAGATGGCGTTATTCTTACCGGCGTAACAATATAATTTGTGGCTCTAACCTCATGGCACTTGGTGACTTTAAAGAGAGCTACGAATGCCTATGTCAGCTAACTCTAGATCAGGAATGAAGGAAAAAGTAGTCGCGGAAGAAGAAACATTGAGGAAAAGGAAAAAGTATGGTTAGATTGTGGCCATAGCTAACAGACAGTGGAATAAGTAGTGTGGTAGTAACATAGATCGAGGTGATTAGGGTTACTAGGAACTCAGTGGCTCTAGGAGCTTATTAACAATTGTGGTTCTCAACCGAGTACCTACAGACTGATTCTACTAATGTAGTGTTATGGTAATATATTTTAATAGTGCTTTTATGGTTGCAGGAGAACAAAAGCCCTTCATAGATCTGCTAATAGAAATAGCAGAGGAAAAAGGGCTTTCAGATATGGAGGTAATACACGAGCTCGCCACGTTCATAGCGGCCGGCCACGACACAGTGCCATACACGCTTCTCTATACGCTTATGTGTGTCGGGTCGCATCCTCCGGTGCAACAACGAATTTATGAGGAGTAGGTATTGTTGGAAATGGAAATAGATCGTTATCTACTTCTTTTTATTTATTGCTTAGATGGGACGAGCTCACAGTGGTGTTAAGTGGTTGGTAACTGGAGCCCATAGACATCTACAACGTAAATGCGCCACCCACCTTAAGATGTAAGTTCTAAGGTTTCAAGTATAGTTACAGCGGCTGACCCACCCTTCAAACCGAAACGCATTACTACTTCACGGCAGAAATAGGCGGGGCGGTGGTACCTACCCGCGCGGACTCACAAGAGGTCCTACCACCAGTAATTACGCAAATTATAATTTTGCGGCTTTGATTTTTATTACACGATGTTATTCCTTCACCGTGGAAGTCAATCGTGAACATTTGTTGAGTACGTATTTCATTAGAAAAATTGGTACCCGCCTGGGATTCGAACACCGGTGTATCGCTCAACACGAATGCACCGGACGTCTTATCCTTTAGGCCACGACGTGTAAGTAAGAAGATTTCGCTGCTCATTATAAACCATTCATTTCTAATTCAAATGTGTTGGAATAGCAGATTTTTTTAAAGGGAATTTATGACCTAGTAAGTAAGACCTTTAGGTCAAGACTTATCTCTAAATATAAAAATGAATTGCTGTTCGTTAGCCTCGCTAAAACTCGAGAACGGCTGGACCGATTTGGCTAATTTTTGTCTTGAATTATTCGTGGAAGTCCAGGGAAGGTTTAAAAGGTTTGAAAATATAAAAAAGCTCGGAATTATATAAAAACAAACCATTTTGTTTTTCCTTTGATGTGTCCCCCGTCGGTCTTTTATTTATCGATTGAGGCACTGCGAAGTCTACCGGCTCAGCTAGTTTTAATATAAATTCTTATTTTTATGGAAAATGATAATATGTAGTGAAACGAAATGAAGTTGATTAATCGAAGTGAAATGAAATGAGATGAGATGATATGAGATGAAATATAATCTTAGTAAAATTGCGGTCATTTACTGAGACTTGTTCAGTGGACTTTTTGGAGGATCCCGAGAAGCTACGTCCAGCGGCTTTGTTTCATTTTCACACATTTGTGAACTTTCTCAGATATTAAACAGTTAATAAAACCACCGTTATTACACATTTGAACCTGATGAAACACTAAATAGGCAAAATAAAATAAATCACACAACTCCACTCCTCGCGTTCCCGCCAAAAAATCCTGGAATAGCAGACCTTATTAAATCAGCATGCATGGTTGACTGCAGTGGCGTCGACACTAATGTTCCACATACGCATCACACAATCTGTTCAATAACTCTTCTCATCAGCTGTTTTCTTGTCAAACCTTCATCGTAGGAGACACTGGTGAAATCCAATTGATGGTCGTCATAGTTGGTACACAACCAAACCGCCCTATATTTTAGAGCATTAAGCAAACTTGGTCAATGCAGTTATTGTATTCTAGGCTACAGCAGGTGCTAGGTTCTGATGACGTCACGAAACAGAACCTCTCGAGCTTGGTATACTTGGAGGCGACGATCAAGGAGACCATGAGGCTTTATCCAATCGCTCCAGTGGTGTCACGGGTCACCGACTGCGATGTTAAACTTAGTAAATATGGTTTTTTTATTTTTATTTATTGCATAGACGGTTGGACAAACTCACAGCCCATCTGGTGTTAAGTGGTTACTGTTACTGGAGGCCATAGACATCTACAACGTAAATGCGCCACCCACCTTGAGATACGAGTTCTAAGGTCTCAGTATAGTTACAATGGCTGCCCTACCCTTCAAACCGAAACACATTACTGCTTCACACCAGAAATAGGGGGGGTGGTGGTACTTACCCCCGCGTCCTACCACCACTAATTATCTTACGCGCTAGAACGAATCATTGAAAGATGAAGAATTTAAATGATAAACTGTTCATCAAAAAGATAGTCCAACCTCCTCGACCTATTTCTGCTACTTCCTCATCAACTGCGCGCTTCTCAACTCCTATTAAGGTTTGAAGGAAGGGTGTGCAAGCTAATTTGGATTGGTACCATTGGATGATTACATATCTTCATCATACTTAACATCAAATTTAAGACTTATATGGTTTTCTCATGGATACCATTATCAGAAATGGACTAAATTGAAATGGGACCACACGGGAAGCGTCAGCTTTCTAATAAAAAAATAATCATCAAAATCGATTCACTCAGTCAAAAGTTATGAGGTAACAAACATAAAAAAATACAGTTGAATTGAGAACCTTCTCCTTTTTTGAAGTCGGTTAAAAATATTGATTTCCATTTTTAATTCACAGGAAATTACACAATACCATCAGGGGCCAGTGTCGCTTTGTGCTATTGGGGTCTCCACCACCACGCTGCGTGGGGCTCCGACGTGGAGCACTTCAAACCTGAACGATGGTTGGATCCGACCACGCTACCTGAAAATGCTTTTGCTGGCTTCAGTACGGGAAAAAGAAATTGCATAGGTAGGTCATGAATATTAAATGAAGATTAGTGTAAACTCACTCCAGTCTAGTAAAAAAGACGTGTGGTGTCGTGGGACACCGGATAAGAACGAAGTTCCTTATTATAAAAATATTAATTTTAAGTTCTATTCGAGGTATAAAGAAAATAATTATTCGGGTATACATTTTTTATTTTGGATTTTTTTATTGATAAAAATAAAAATAATCGCAAGGATCAACCACTCCGCAGTGCAATGGAGCAGCCTCGCCCTGCGGGAACCGCCTGAATGATCACGGTATCCCTCTACGCCAGATGAGTATGATTTAGCAAGAGAAATACGAGAACGTCTATCAACTGTGTAACATCTCGTCACCGCGATTCAGGAATTGTTGAATGTACGTGCTGCGACATCTGTTGATAACAAACTAAATAGACAAAAATCTTACGTTACGGACGTTTTTTCCCGGTTAGGGTACCCCTCCGCATCGTTTCATAAGGAACTTCGTTCCAAAACCGCCGAACATATCCAAAGTGTGTTGCTACTATTTTGGCGATGAAGCAACATTCTGTTCTATTTTTCATGTTTAAATGCGTTAAATGACATGGTTTTGTTTTTTCCCTTGTGCGTCCAGGTAAGACCTTCGCCATGATGTCTATGAAGACGACCCTCGCGCATCTGCTGCGCCAGTACCGGGTGACCGCTGATATCACCAGGATGGAAGCCAAATTAGATATCATACTTAAGCCCGCATTCAACCACTGGATTAGTCTGGAATGGAGAGATAAATTATAAATACATTATTTTTGGATTTCAGCGAGATTATAATTTCAAACTGCAAGTAGTAAAACCTATCTTGACATGTTTTTATATGAAATACGCTTTGCAGTATGCTGACAATATTGAAATAACGTATTAAATAAATAATAGTTTAAAAAAACTAACAAAATACGCTTTTATAGAAAATCCAATTAAAAAATAGAAAATAAATTTGAATTAAAAATAGTGTAAGAAAAAATGATTTTATTGTAAAAAAGCGTGGGGTGCTTTTCAGGATATTATCAAAATAGCCCTTCTACTCATATCTGTTCATAAAATATATATAACTACTGATACCATGCACCCCACGCTTTTTTTTACAATAAAATCATTAATTCTTACACTATTTTGAATTAAAATTTATTAAAATTTATTTTCTATTTTTTAGTTGGACTTTCTATAAAAACGTATTTTGTTAGTTTTTGAAACTATTACTTATGTTTAATTTTTTAGGTGAATTTTAATTTTTTAATTTTTTTTTAAATTATTGAATTGTCATCGGTCCTTAGTAAGTATACAAAATTTCGAGTTAATCCGACGTTTTGAAGGGGGTCAAAATCATGTTCAAAGATTCCTTTACAAACATTACGTCTGAAGCTAATAAAAGAGTATTAAAAATGAAAGATTTTCCGAAACTATTTTCGAGTCACCTGACCATAACTTGTTGTTGTTGTTGTTAGGTGTCATTAGGCCTTGTCTGAAATGCTCATAGTAAATATACAAATTGTTAGTATGTAGGCATCTGTATATTGTACTCGAAAGTCCAAAATTTTAAAACGAAGACGCGAAAGATGATACTGGACCGTAAAAGCAGTCTTGATAATGTAAAACTTAGTTTTGAAGTGTGAAATTGCATCATTCTAAGTTTGCACCTTATCACCACGCAACAAAGTAGGTTCTAGATTATACATATATGTTAATACAAAACAAGTGTCATAATGAAACCAGTCAAATGCGCCTTATGGTCAGCTGTTCTTTACTATGAATTCGAACATGAACAAATTATAATGCTAGATAGTAACCCACTGCCTTAGTAGTCGGAGAGCTGGGAATGCATTTAGTCACGTTGTGTGTCCGGCGACAGTAGCTTATAGTGATGAGAAGATCACAATTTGAAACCGTCTGTATATCTGATGATTTTAAAAATTGAACGAATACGAAGACATTCGCCCAGCCTTATGGTAATCATCAGTAACGCCAGAGCCGCCGTCAGGCTGTTGATTGCAGGGAACAAAATTTTTAGATTGGCAGGTTTCAACAATCGTGTTAAGCTTTCATTGCGGAGTCTGACGGTACGTTCCAAAAATGATCTCTAGAAACGGATTGTGGTTGAGTTTTGCTAGAATAGAAGGTGCTGGTGGAGTTACTGCGATGACGGACTTGTCTTAAATATTCTCATAATCAGAGTACTCCAATGAGCAGCCAAGAACATTGATTCTACTGTGTGTAGAATTTTGAGAGCAGATACGGACTGACATCATTAGTGTTTCACATAATCAATCAACCAATCACAATCCTGGTGTCCGATAGAAAAACACATTTTGCTTAAACGAATTAAATCTTATCTGCTATGGCCGATATTCAACTAAAGCCCGCTTCATTCCCGTCGCGAGATGACTATGCCGGAGTTCAAATCCATTCGGTAGGAGAATTTCAAATAAAGAAGATCAATTAATTACTAATACTAGTGTTCCCGCAGTAGTCGAAGTCCGACTATAATTAATTAAAATTATAAGTTTGGACATTATTATGGTTCTATTGTCAAAAACTATTATATTTCTATAGTCACATATTTCGCCAAGAGTACACTATAGATAAATACTCGTAATATTAAAGATAAAGAATATTAACCTATTCTCAATTTGACTACAGACTTTAAGCAATAACAAAAGTTTGACAATAAACAAAGAGTATATGTGTGTGTGTCAAATACATGGTAGTGTGTATAATGTCTTCTTTATTGATTTAATGTACCTTTTATGTATTTTAAAAAAAAAAATATTAGCTTTGTGTGTTTCTCTATATTCTCTATAAGTGTGGAAAATTTCATACTCCTCCGTTTGCGCAATTTTCGTAAAAAGGGATACGAAGCTTTTGCTTCACGTATTAATATATAGATAACAATATAATAATAATAGTAACATAGATAATTTCGTAGTAACTAGCGATGGGGAATTATGGACATTCATTTCAGGATTGATAAGAACCATTTTTTTTTTACGAATCTGTTAGACTGACGGTACGCTAGAGCGCGCAGCCGCTATGTGAATCAATTGGGACTTCGACTGCGGGTCTCAAGGTGGGTAGCGCCATTCACGTTGTGTTGTCTATGAGACCCAGCGATTATTGAATGCCCAGTGAGTTTTTTACGAACGTTGCTAACAACATTTCCAGCTCTTGGACAAAGTCCACACTAATTGCAATTCAAGTCACTACAGCTCGCATCCGTTTTGCACCGATATCTTTCACTGTTGACCGCGCCAGGAATGAAAAACACAATAAAATACCGCGACGTTACGTAAGGACATGTACGGACTTTCTTTTATATAACGATCGCTTGAACAGCACTATTTCTATTCTGAAAGAGATCGTTACTGTCAAGGTTAGACATAATGGTTGCATCGATTTAACCTGAAGTCTTTGTCTGTCTGACTTTACGAGGTCTTGGAACTCAATTCTGGGTCAAAGGTATTTTAATTGACCTATGTTTCGAATTTCCGCGGATTATCGTATTTGGAAGAAAAAGTACATCGAATAAAACGGTTTCTTCGGAAAAATAAGATAGAGTCTGTGTATGAACTAGCAAATCTAATGAATGAATGATTTATTTTATTTCAGACAACAACAAGTCCATATGCATACATAGTATCATTGAAACATACTTAAAATTAACAAGACCAATGAAATAAAAAATATATATTTATTAAAAATAATTATCAGTTGAGTACATTACTAAAATATTCCATTCAACTGATACTTACTTCAAACCAACCATTATTATTATTATTATTATTATTTAGTCCGCAAGTGAACCATAGTACAATGGTTCAAGTAACGACAGTCATAACAGTCTGTTAATGCCTTCTGGATGCTGTTAGGAGGTCTGTTAATGTGTTCTGACTAAATACGCTAAGTATTGAACTAATTATAAAAGTGATGTGTCTGTCTGCCCTATAAGGAGTAAGAGTCGCGATGATACGCGCCCATCCACTGACCCGATTCGTGATAAACTTTCGTCTTCCAATGTTTTGTTGTGACGGTCACGTGCGGAATTATAAACGTATAATAATTAATGAAATTATATTAACGACGCTGCGAATCCGGGTTTGAGTGATGCTTTAATAGGAAGCCGCTATCGGCAGGTGTGTCCTGATACTGAGCTCTGCGAGGGTTTCTCTTATATCAGGATTTCTATACATCTAGATTTCAACACTAAGTATAATGTGGTGTGGTTTGGTCACGATGGATTAGAAGAGAGTAAATAATACGTCCATTCAGTTTGAAGGTTCGGTTTATTGTGTGAAAGGTGTATTTAGTAACAAGACAGTAAGACAGTAGTGCTGAAAAAGCACTTTAAATAAGGCTGTATACATACTTGAATGTTTACACACTACAATAATTTCACAGAAAATTTTACCTTTCACATTAGCATAATATGGCGGCGTACATGACAGAAGTTAATGAGTCCGCAGCCGAATCTTAAATAGAATTAAATTTCTTTATCAAAAGTGAAGAGAAAAAAACACATTTATTAGACCGAGCGTGAATGCATTTATTGATCGTATTTTCATGTTTAGCGAATCCGCAATTCCAATTGCAATCGACAGACTGAATGAACTCTAGACTAGTTCCCCCGGTTCAGTTGACTGGTCGTAATTTTCTGCCGTGAAGCAGTAATGCGTTACGGTTTGAAGGGTGAGGTAGCCGGTGTAACTATACTGAGATCTTAGAACTTATATCTCAAAGTGGGTGGCGCATTTACGTTGTAGATGTCTATGGGCTCCAGTAACCACTTAACGCCAGGTGGGCTATGAGCTCGTCCACCTATCTTAGCATAAAAAAATAATTACAAATCGCTTTGTTTGTATAATATGCTTTCCTAGGTTTACGAACTCTTGTTCATGTAGTAGTTTTTGAGGACGGCTGTAAATGTAACTGGCACTCTTCAATATAAACTAATTAGTATTGGTTACTATGTGTGTTATAAGAACGACTGATTGAATTTTTAAATGAGCGTAATATCTAACTAGAAAACCCTATGGAAACCATTACGAAATGAATCCACTCAAAAAACACGAGGCTCATTTTATTAGATACCAGCGACCCGCCCTCGCTTCGCTTCGGAAACTGTAATTTATTATTGATTTCTCCACTATTTAATGAATGTTATTATACATATAAACCTTCCTCTTCAATCACTCTATCTATTAAAAAAAACCGCATCAAAATCCGTTGCGTAGTTTTAAAGATTTAAGCATACATAGGGATATAGGGACAGAGAAAGCGACTTATATACTATTTTATATTATGTAGTGAATCGTTACTTTTAAAACTGGAACGCATTATTGTTTAGTACGAAAATTTGGCAAGAATGGCATAATATTGCTCGTTCAAAATAGAGGTTCCTTGCCAACAGAGCTAGCTGTGGTCAGAAAAAATAGTAGTTAACTCAGAACCTAACTATGCTTTAGTCACATGGTTACACTTTTTTTTTTCTTCCTATGCTGATAGCCTTGAGAGGCTATTTCAGCTTCACCCTATCGTATAGGTGAGCTCACGGGGCTCAAACCGTAGTGATGCTAATACTGACCCTAGCAAGAGTAGTGCTTCGTAGCATCTACCACCGAATCAGAAACGCGACCCACTGAGCAGATCCGGCGAGAAACTCAGTAGGCAATCAAGGTTACACGTAACACCTTACCCATTATGTTTGTTTAGCAGATGTTATGTCGGATAGTAAGAGCGGAATCAGAGCAGTACTTTTGTGAAGCAGTGTAATCAATAAATAATATAATTGGGAACAAATTACGTTCGATCATCCGGCCCCAAATTGGGATTCCCGTGTCATGGGCACCAGATACTGACACTTATACACGTTTAAATATATACATATTTAATTATTAAAAAACCTCCCTGGCGCAACGTTTTTTCCCTACTTAAGCTGATAGCTTTGAGAGGCTATGTCAGCGTAACCCTAATGTGTAGGTGAGCTCTCGGGGCTTAAACCAGGTGGCGTTGCTAACACTGGCCCTAGCAAGAGCAGTGCTTCGCAGAATCTAGCACCGGATCTGAATCGCGATACACTGAGAAGATCCGGCGAGAAATTCAGAGGGCTGTGTCTATGGGGCTAGTTACTGCACCATCGAGAGTCTACGGAGTAAACATGAAACAAAAATAGTTATTTATACAGAATTTTTTGCGTAATGTGGCGCACGTCAGACCCCTCGTATAATTTTTTTTATAGAAAAAAATATATTTAACCATACACTCGCCTCTTTGGTCTTTTGGCTAGTGCTGGTCTGCTGGTCAGCTGGTTACTGCTGGTCTATAGAGACCAGCTCATATGTGTGTGTGTTTCCATTACCGATAACATATTCTAATGTCTGTTATTATTTTATTATTATTTTAAGAAATAAGAAGCATAAAGTCGGGTCCAGCTTTTTTTTTATTTTTTATTTATTTCGTAGATTTGTGTTACCGGAGACATCTACAATGTAAATGCGCCACCCACCTTGAGATATAAGTTCTAAGGTCTCAAGTATAGTTACAACGGCTGCCCCACCCTTCAAACCGAAAAACGCATTACTGCTTCACGGCAGAAATAGGCAGGGTGGTGGCACCTACCCGTGCGGACTCACAAGAGGTCCTACCACCAGTTTTTTTAAAATGGCTTATTATTTACGAAGTCTTGTGTAGTTTTTTCCGTGTATTTAGGCTGCGGTTATTTAATGTTATCCCGACACTGTTGCATGAATATGATGCCACTTGCGATATCCCTGCATTCCGGTACCTACCTCAATAACTAACACTAAGTAAGCACAGTTGCACAGCTGTAATCAGGAAGATTCGATCTTATAACTTGCTTAATTCTGTGTAACTTGAGTAACAATAATCGAACAAAACTTGAACGCCCAAACGTATAAGTAACGTATAAGTAACATTTTTGATATTAATGTTTAACATCTAACTCTTAAACTGTTAAGCATTAACGGTTAGGCGCTCCCTCGTACAAAGGGCCACCACTTCGCAACGCAGTGACAGTTTTCCAACGCGCAGCTCATTTAATTAAAATGTAGCTTCGCGCCTGTACAGCCAAAGATAGCCGCGTTTCGCATTCTGATAACGGTCACGTCTTAATGCTCGTATATAAACCATACCTTCGGTTCGGTAGAAGTACAGTGTGGTAGTGCATCCGACGGCAGTCAGTCGCCTCTGCCGTCAAACAAAACAGGAACAGTGAGCAACAGTGAAAATGGCCAGAATAATAGTGTTGTTATCGATCGTTGCCTTCGCAAGTGCCACGTATCCGGCATCGAAACTAGTCAAGAACATTTATAATGAATGCCTTAGTCAGTATTCGGTGGAATGCGTGAAACCGAGGACCCTGCAGTGGATCTCATCGGTTGCCAACGACGACGAAATTAAGATCACTGAAGATCTTTCTATCGTGAAGACCGGAACAGTTGAGGATGATGAATCTGCCGACCCTAGACTGGCCAAGGATCCGGCCTACGAAATGTTCGACAAAGTGGACAAGTTTCTCCAGAGTCATACTCTTAGGGTGAAAGTTCCAGAGGAAATAACGAAAAGTGCTGCTTCAGAGTACGTGCCAAGGTCTCTCTTGACTGACTTGCCTTCCGAGCTGGACATGCCCTTAGATGGAGAAGATGAGGCTGAAGTCGTTGAGGGCAGGAAGAAGAAGATCAAGCTCCCTAAGCCTTTGAGGATCAAGAGCAGTCAGTAGCAGAATTAGCTTCTTAGTGTAATACATATAAAATTTGGATTCTAATTTTCTTTGGTTTTCAGAACACGGTTTCATCAAGAAGGTTATCCTGCCTTTCCTGCTGGGTCTTAAATTCAAAGCTTCTGTTCTCGTTCCCTTGGCGCTAGCCCTCATCGCTCTGAAGACCTGGAAGGCTCTTACTCTTGGTCTCATTTCCCTTGTTTTATCTGGTACGTATTTTAAAATTTTGACGAACAAAGAAAACTACATTAAAACATTTGCTAATCGGTTATTGTTATTTATTTTAGGTGCCATGGTCATCTTCAAATTCACGAAGCCCAAGGTCGTGAACTACGAAGTAATCCACTATCCTCAACACCATGTGGAGCACCACGTAGACCACCACGCCCCTGCCTGGGACGCACACGGGCCCTACCAAGCGAGATCCTACGAAGATGCTCACGAAATCGCATACTCCGCACAAATATAAAAACACAAAAAAAATAACTTTAAAACGACGGACCTCTGATTAATTTATTTAAATTATTAATTTATTTATTGTTATGTTGTAAATAAAATCATTTAAAAATAAGTTTCAAATTTAAAAAGTTGCTTTATTAAAACCACTTTTACCTGAATACTATTACTTCACTATTAGGATAACTGTGCACTTCGTTACTTAAGTCATCTTTAGCTTTTATATCTTCGTACTTAAATGAACCTTTCTCATTTCTAAGACCACTCAAATCATTAGTTTGAGTGACGACATCGAATGCTGCAACAGGACGTGCGTTTATTTCACCGCTATTTAAATGCCCTAATATGTTATCTAAACTATTTTCTTTGGCTTTCACTTCGTTCTTAACTTCAATTATTTGATTTCCATCAAAGTTTAAATTGAATTTTTCTGCTGCGACATCTTGTACATCGAAATCAGGATTCGCAATTGCCGTCTTAGTGAAGTTCGTCACGTGGATGTATTCGTCGATTTCTTTCATATGCAAATCGGTTTTCGCTTGTTTCATTCTTGTGCTTTCATTCGAATCAATATTCAAGACGCCACTTTGAGTGTCTTGTTTGTTTGACAATAGAATTTGATCGGCGTAGGTACGGAATATTTTAGATTTCTTTAAAGGATTTATCTTGTATAAGTTTAAAAGTGCGTTAAAATTTTCTGCGTTGGTTCGCTTGACTCTGTCGCCGGATGCATTTTCGCTCAGCTAAAATTGAAAAAAAGACATTACTTACGTTAAAAGAACAGTAAAACATACCACCTAAATTTCTTTGCTTTGAATTTATATGTACGTAGTAGTAGTAGTTGAACATATTATTGAAGCTAAGTTATGTTGGTGATGGATATGAATTATTTGTTTTTTTTAGCTTTTCGTATAGTTATAATACAAAAGTATGTGTAAGTACTGAGTGAGTTCTCAACTCACCAGAAGCACGGCAACTGCCCAGAAACCGTAATGCATTGTTCTTTCCGACGTGAAGGGAACGTTATCACATTGTGTTTACTAAACAACTGCAGTGGCCACGAGTTGTGAGTTGGGTTTTTTTAAATAGTCAACTTTCTATTGGCGTACATGGATAGTGATCAGAAGATCTTGCCTTATGATAGAGTTTAGGACCTCCTTGAGTTACCATGGATACTTTCCAACATTTGCTGATTTAACAGATGAGAGTGTCGTGATGGTACTAACAGCATTCACATCGAATTTACAAATTCTGAAGGAGGCTTGAATTCAGGAAGCCAAAAGTTTGGCATATGAAATTAAATATGAAACGATAATATCCCGTTAGCATTCTGAATCAATTCTACCTGGTGAGACAAGAGAAAGAAGAGATACTTGATAGCTGAAAATCGGGAAGATCAATATACAATTTGTTGCAAAAAAAAATTGCTTCCGTTTTGATGGTCCTGATTTGAAAGAAAGAAAGAAAGAAAGAAAGAAAATCTTTATTCGCCAGAAATATAGTTTACAAGATATAGGACATAGCTTCATATATTTCACCTGTTTAGGCATGCGAAAATTTAATTTATTTTTATATTAATTATTACACAAAATTTACTAAATCTATATATTTTTACATTCTATCACTTCTTATTCTAATATTTTATTATGTACACACTTATCATTTAAAAATTCTTGCACACTATAATAAGCCTTGTCTATTAGCCATAAATATATTTTTCTTTTAAATTGAGTTAGTGGAAGATCTCTTATGCTGTTTGGTATCTTATTAAATATTCTGATAGTCATAGGATAACAGTTTGTATGGTAGTAACGAGTATTTATACTTGGTAACATTAGTTTAGTAGGGTATCTTGTATTAAATTGACAGTACTCGCCACACGATTTATATAATTGTGGGTGCTTTTTAACAAACAAACAACATTCTTGTATATATATGGATGGTACAGTTAAAATATTATGTTTTTGGAAGAATGGTTTACAAGAAGTCAGAGTAATTTGATTTCGTAAGTGTATAAAGATTTCGCTCATGATCCTATTTCATAGTTGTGGTGGACACAGTCAGATAAACACTTTTCCGGAAAAATCGATGAAGTTATAAATAATTATTATACTCTTAGAACCCGCCTAAATTGCATACTTTAAATCTATACTAAAATATAGAAGTTACTTTTAAGATTTAATTACAGATCAGATTGAAACTTTAAAACGCTCTCCCGTAAAACTGTAAACCACTATTTTTGACATGACGCTTTGTACGTAGGTTTTTTTTTTTATTGCTTAGATGGGTGGACGAGCTCACAGCCCACCTGGTGTTAAGTGGTTACTGGAGCCCATACACATCTACAATGTAAATGCGCCACCCACCTTGAGATATAAGTTCTAAGGTCTCAGTATAGTTACAACGGCCGCCCTTCAAACCGAAACGCATTACTGCTTCACGGCAGAAATAGGCGGGGTGGTGGTACCTACCCGTGCGGACTCACAAACCGTCGACATGTATAACGCATTATATATGTCACACTTTTATTCTATTCTATTTTGCGGTAATTCTATTTTTATAAGTAAGTTATGAATTCCGAGCACTCTTCGCTGAGATTCTATATTTATGAAGCACACTTATTCATTAATAAGCGTCGTGGGCTCTCTGTCGTAGATCATATTTACATAAAGTGCCAACAGTCAATAGACAGTTGCAATTCTAACGTCAAAAGCTTTAATTAAAATGCAAATAGGTTACTTTGTGCTGCCTACCGTCTGCCAACTTATAATAGAAGAATTTCAGTACACTGTAGCTACATATGGCGAATTGCCATTGGACATATAACAATAATATATCATACTATAACCCTATGGTAAGAATGGCCAGGCAGTATAATGATTTGGCTGTCACGGTAACCTTGATATCTTTGAACCTAGACTCAGGGGATTTGTCAAATGTGTGAAGGATAACTTATTTAGCAATGGCTAGTTATCAATATTTGTAATTTCAATTGTGTTTTCAATAGCCAAAGTTATGCACATTTATATGGTTTTGCTGAGTGCACATACTATTTAGATTGCAATCCAGATTAGATCTAGGTACTACTTGTACGATTTAGCTAATATCTACTGTAATGATTGTAATTTGTTTGGTGCATCAATAAATTAAAAAAAAATTGCGACCGAATTGACCGAGGTGTCTATGCGTTTGTCGATCTATTACTAGAAGAAAAGTTGTAGCCACTCATATAGAAAGTGAATCTACAGTAGGTTAGTGAAACTGCATTAGGACCTGCCTTAACTGTAATTAGGTTTGAATTATGACTTCCTTCTTTTTATTTTAAGTCATGCTTACTTTTGAGTATCCCCGTAGCTGTGGCTACGACTGTTCTTTCAATGGATGTTGCTTATTTTGATTCCTACAAGATTGCAACTTGGATTGTTGTAACTGTTATGCTGTTTAAGTTAATGTCTTGAATAAGTTCAGGGAATGTCATCATTATTTTTTGGTTTTTCTTTGCATTAAATTTTAAGGGAGTATGGTGTGTACTGGCTGGTGTAATCAATAAGCACTTATTTCCAATTTGGACCAAGTTCTATTGACTCCTTAGGCGCCAGTCTTTTTTTTATGAATGAGGGATTACTGGTGGCGAAGAGGCCTTTCCTGTATCACCAGGATAGGTAGGCGAGCAAAGATTCAGCCAGGAGGGGTGTTATTTGCTAACAATTGCCCGAGCGCCTCCAAAGGAGACCTCAAACGAGAACTCAAGAGCAACTCTATCAATGAAAGAGTCTACTATCAATGAAAATAAAAAACTAGCCTAAAATAATACAGTCAGTTTTAGCGAAATTAGAAGAAACCTTTCGGTGGGCTTAATGACATCGCAATACCTACTCTTCGGTGTCGGTTAAATATAAATATTACTAAGTAGTATCCACTCAATATTCACGGAACCATCTATTAAACTTTTCCAATACATTCTGTATGCAATTATATTCGTAGCACGTTGGAGACATCCACAGAAATCGGAACGTTGCGTATGATTGACGCTTTGGTATGAGAGGTGCGGTAAAGTTGTACTGTGATATTGACAATGTCAATACAGTCCAGGTATTGTTTCTTTTAACACCTTTTCATTTATTGCTTAGATGGGTGGATGAGCTCACAGTTAACCTGGTGTTAAGTGGTTACCGGAGCCCATAGACATCTACGACGTAAATGCACCACCCAGTTTGAGAAATAAGTTCTAAGGTCTCAGTATAGTTACAACAAGTTCGCAAGAGGTCCTAACACCAGTAAACTTATAAGAGGTCCTACCACTAGTAAGCTCAATTGGACAAACAAGCTCACAGAGCGTCTGATGTGTAAAGCTACCTACTACATTGATAAATGAATTGGAAGACTCATTTGCATTGTAATTACAGCTGTTTTAGACTTAACCTGTTGTGAGTCCGCGCGGGTAGGTACCACCGCCCTGCCTATTTCTGCCGTGAAGCAGTAAAGCGTTTCGGTTTGAAGGGTTGGGCAGCCGTTGTAACTATACTGAGACCTTACAACTTATATATCAAGGTGGGTGGCGCATTTACGTTGTAAATGTCTATGGGCTCCAGTAACCACTTAACACCAGGTGGGCTGCGAGTTCGTCCAACCATCTAAGCAATAAAAATAAAAAAATAAAAAATAACCTCGGAACGTGTGAGTACTTCGACGGAGATGTAAGTGGTAATGTTTTTGGGCTGCATTGTGATTGCAGACTATTTTAATTACAGACAGATAGACCACCTCCAATATTCGATCTAGGGTATAGTCACGTTACTCGGAGTTCAGCTGTATCAGCCACGAGACCGCGGCCGGATCTGCTTCTTCACACAGACTTAATAGTTGTATTAAAATCTAAGTTATATCTATAGTAATATAAAAAGTTGTCTATAATCACCGTAAGTCAGGATGTTATTATACATTTTTCATGTGGTTGGGCACGATTTGATTATTGAAATTTTTTATGTATGTACATATGCGAAGGGTGTTCATGGGTGATAACAATTCACGCACTTACAGACTTTACTATTCAGGTAACGAACACTCAACAATCATTAGCTTTTTAGTAAACGATGTATTATTAAGCTATGCTTGGTTTAAAGCACCTCTTGTAAAAGATTCCAACCGACTTAACCTTGTGTTTGGCAAGAACGGCAGTATTGTTTTGGAGGTTATGTATAAAAATAAATCGTAAGTAATCATTCTCTGCAGTTTGAAGGGTAGGACATCAATAATAATTATGACCAAATTTATATTTTTGAAGTGAAACTTCTTTAAGAGCCTTGAGAGTAAAATTTTAACTCGCGACAGACTCGTTACGGCTAGAGAGAAAAGATACAGTTTTGCACGAGCGGGAGTGAGAAAATAGACAGGGCGTCTCGCGAACCACTCGACCGAGAGAGGGAAAGACAAAGCGAGCTAGGTCATTTCTCTTATATACAGCATTCCATATTACAAGAGAAATTTGATTTAACGATGAAAAATGTAGAAAATCTCAATACTACACTTTTAAGAAGTTTCACTTCTTTCACGTACACTAAGTGCGCGTGTACCATTTTTGTAAAAATAGTGATTATAGCCGGGAATCGATCCCAGACCCAATAGTACAACAGTCAGGATCGCTAAGCAACAGACCAACGAAGCGATCGAATAATTTCAAACCTTCATGTTAATTTCAACAAAAACTCAAAAAGTATATATTTTTCAATTTTATTTTATAAACACATTTACAATGTCAATTTACAAAAAAATACAAAATAAATTAATATGGTTTCAAATAAATTAACTATAAACTGGTGTGGATTTAATTTAAAATAGTAAACAATAAAAGTTAAAATAAAAATAAAACTAGCGTCCTAGTGACTTGACGTTTTACAACTAAATTTTTATTTTAACAATAAATACTTAACGATTTCACAATTAAATATTAACCCTTAGAATTCCTTTAGTGAAAGTAATTACAATTAGCATATAATATAATAAATTAATTTAAATTACCTCATTTATTTGTGCTTCATATGACTGACTTCAAGTTTTTCATGATTTGCATTTTTTTCGAATGTAATATTTTTATTTTTTATTGCTTACATGGGTGGACGACCTCACAGCCCACCTGGTGTTAAGTGGTTACTGGAGCCCATAGATATCTATGAAGATATAAGTTCTAAGGTCTCAGTATAGTTACAACGGCTGCCCCACCCTTCAAGCCGAAACGCATTACTGCTTCACGGCAGAAATCGGCAGGACGGTGGTACCTATCCGCGCGGACTCACAAGAGGTCCTACCACCAGTAATTACGCAAATTATAATTTTGCGGGTTTGATTTTTACTACATGAATGTTATTCCTTCACCGTGGAAGTCAATCGTGAACATTTGTCAAGTACGTTAATAATTTGCCATAAAAACGTAACGCGAAACAGTAAAAACAAAATGTACTCGATTTGTTACTGGCGGAATACACAAACATGAATCAATCAAAGTGAGTCTCGTTAGAAATAGGTGCAAATTTAAAACTAAACAAATAAATTATTTAATCCTATGTTTTGGGAAACGCTTTTAAATAATACGATGATCGTAATTTAGTAAATGCATTATATGTAGTCTTATGTGAAGTGACCAGACCGTGCCTGGTTCGCTCTAGAAGGACTCGGGATGTGGTCGGAGGAGCAATGATGCCGTGCTCCCTTGTTCTTCCAATATTTTTCCCTCTAATTATTGACAAGAGAACAAATCTATTTTTTTTAGTAACTAAATTGACAATCGGTGTCAAGTTAGTTGAGGGATGTAGTTTAGTTAAGTCAGAGATGCGGCGGACAGTGTTGAATTTTAAGGGCCGCCTGGAAAAAAAAAAAAAAAAAAAAGAGATATGCGGCGGACAGTGTTGAATTTTAACGGCCGTCTGGTGTAGTGGTAAGTGACATGGTCACTACACAAGGGGGTTGCGGGTTCGAATCCCGCCAAGGGAAGATATTTGTATGATAAATATAAATGTCTTTTCCAGGGTTATGGATGTATATTAAATATATGTATGTGTATAATAAAAATCTTACATTTATTTCCGTTATCTGGTACCTGTAACACAAGTTCTTTACGAGCTTATCACGGGACCAGTTAACGTGGCGTGATTGTTAGTAAATATTTATTTATTATTTATTTATTTTATTTGACGGGACTATCGCCCCAATGAGAAACTAACAATCTGTTGTGAAAATTTGCAAAGCTCCCAGGATGAAGCTTTGTTTCATTTTTGTCCTTCTGTACAGAGATTTCTTTTAAATCCAACAGCTTATTTTTGGAGGTATTATTCGATATTGTAATCTATATCGCAGTGAGGATACTCCGTATTGCAGTCCTTCTGTTCCTGCCCGTCTCTAGCTGCCTGCACGTAGCGGTAGTAGCGCAGGGCCTGCTTGCTGTCTGCCGCGGGGAGGAGCTCGTTGGAATCCCTGTTAAATAATGCACTTGTCACATTTGCTTTGAGGCTATGCTATCAAATATATTATGTCGATGGTTTTTCTTTGCAAAATTACCACTGTCGGTTTACCTATTTGATAATAATACTGGTCACTAAAATGTAGGTGCATAGGTACTGCTAAATTATATATTTCACGGTGTGTCTGCTGTCCATAAGCCTATCACCCACATCCCACTTTGTCTAAGCGTGCAAATCTCATGTCCACTACAACTTCAGTCAGAGCATTTAGATTGGTAACTAGATTGGTAAACGAACCCACGGCCCGCCCACCTGATATTAATTCATTTACAAAGCTCAAACACCCCATTGTGTGAATTTGCCCTAAACACATCATTACGGATCCTCCGAATCCATTAACGGCGCTTTTAGGTACCTCAAGCACCGTTCACCGTCCTCGTCGAACCCGTCTTTGCGACGAAGGGCTCGACGAGCAAATTAACTCATAGACATAGCCCACTGAGTTTCTGGCCGGATCTTCTCATTGGGTCGCATTTCCGATCCGGTGGTAGATTCTGCGAAGCACTGCTTTTGCTAGGGCTAGTAGCAACACTCCGGTTTGAGCCCTGTGATCTCACCTACACGTCAAGGAGAAGCTGAAATAGCTGTTCAAGGCAATCAGCATAGGAAGGAAAAAAAAAGTGTGAATTACGCTGCCTACAATCATGGAAATGATTCGAAGTCCGATTTATAAAGTACCACAGCTGTCCTACTCTTCAAAACGGAGTACATGACAGCTTCGAATGCAGCATCAGGTTTATTTGTACTGGTGGTAGGACCTCTTGTGAGTCCGCACAGGTAGGTACCACCGCCCTTCCTGTTTCTGTCGTGAAGCAGTAATGCGTTTCGGTTTGAAGGGTGGGGCAGCCGTTGTAACTATACTGAGACCTTAGAACTTATATCTCAAGGTGTGTGGCGCATTTACGTTGTAGATGTCTATGGGTTCAGTAACCACTTAAAACCAGTTGGGCTGTGAGCTCGTCCACACATCTAAGCAATAAAAAATAAAAATAAAGTTTCCGCAGGTTCGAGCTCACAGTACGCCGCCATAAAGTAAATGTAGCGACAAGAGATACCTACTTGCTGAGTTCATTCGACACCAAGTTACTGAACGGGGCGTGCTTGAACGGGTCCCCGTAGAGAGTACATACAGCTCTTTCCTTACACCCAGTTTCGCTTGCTCCTATCGTGGCAAGAACGGCATCCACTCGGTCCAAAAGGAAGCCGTAGAACTTCTCTGCTGCTATGGTATCCTGTAATAAATAAGATATTAAATCAAAACACAGGGTTGCGCTCGATAAATCAGAATGATTTAGTCACAGATGATCTCTGTAGCTTTTGCTGTCGGTCTAATGAAAGGTTAGACAGAAAAGGTCGTTATTTATTTATTTCGAGGTGTCAGGACATCTGGTGCTAAGCCATCACCGGAGCTCTTGTGAGTCTCTTTTACTGGTGGTAGGACCTCTTGAGAGTCCGCACCGGTAGGTACCACCGCCCCGCCTATTTCTGCGTAATGCATTTCGGCTTGAAGGGTGGGGCAGCCGTTGTAACTATACTGAGACCTTAGAACTTATATCTTTTTTTTTTATTGCTTTGATGGATGGACGAGCTCACAGCCCACCTGGTGTTAAGTGGTTACTGGAGCCCATAGACATCTACAACGTAAATGCGCCACCCACCTTGAGATAGTCAAGATGAAGTCGTTGTGGCCTAAAGGATAAGACGTCCGGTGCATTCGTGTGTAGCGATGCACCGATGTTCGAATCCCGCAGGCGGGTACCAATTTTTCTAATGAAATACGTACTCAACAAATGTTCACGATTGACTTCCACGGTGAAGGAATAACATCGTGTAGTAAAAATCAAACCCGCAAAATTATAATTTGCGTAATCACTGGTGGTAGGACCTCTTGAGAGTCCGCACGGGTAGGTACCACCACCCCCCGCCTATTTCCGCTGTGAAGCAGTAATGCGTTTCGGTTCGAAGGGTGGGGTAGCCGTTGTAACTATACTGAGATCTTAGAACTTATATCTCGAGGTGTAGGGCTCCAGTAAACACTTAATACCAGGTGGGCTGTGAGCTCGTCCACCCATCTCAGCAATAAAAAAAATGTACTAGGAAGTTTAAGAGTGGATCATCCGAGACTAGTGATTCACCAGGCACCGCGGCGCCGCCTCATTAAGAACACAGACTTTTAAAAGTTCACCACGTCCTGGAGCTAGCGGCTTGTTGGCATATATCTATAGTGCCGTCAGCACTTTACAGCCTATTCAGCTCGTTTCGTAGGGTACGTTAATGAATTTACCGGATCATTCGCAGCCAAGATCTGCTGTTGTTGCTTCACCAAGTCAGTTTCAGTCTGCACTCTGTTGGTCTCTTTCAGCTTCACCGCTGAGACTCTGAGGAGTTCGTCTCTGACCGGCGACGGTGGAGCTCTAGCTGCGAGGGCCGCTGCTCGTATCTGGAGATCATTTTAGAAAGGACTTTCAGTACATTTTTCTTTACCAATATAATTTTAAAAGATTGATAGATCAGTGACATCTGGATTTGAAGAAACGGAATATTTAACGTTCTAGAACGTTTTAGCGTCTTTTTTTTTATTGATGCACAAAACAAATTACAATCATTACAGTAGATATTAGCTAAATCGTACAAGTAGTACCTAGATCTAATCTGGATTGCAATCTAAATAGTATGTGCACTCAGCAAATCCATTTGAATGTACATAGCTTTGGCTATTGAAAACACAATTGAAATTACAAATATTGATAACTAGCCATTGTTAAATAGGATATCCTTCACACATCCGACAAATCCTCTGAGTCTAGGTTCAAAGATATCATTCAGATAGCATAGGCCTTACCCGGTTAAAAGATTTATGACAAAAATTCATACCAAAGCTTCCTTTTCCGCTTGGAATGGATCTTTCGTTGTGGTTTTCTTATTTCGATTGTACGGGTTTATGTTTGGCGGTCCCACCGGCCTGAAACATGAGAAATAGGCTGAGTGAATTATCAAATTTATAACTTTTTTAAGTTTTTTTTTAATTGCCCATGTAGGCAGACTAGCATACGGCCCACCTGATGAGCGGATACCGTCGCCCATGGACTTTAGCAATGCCAGGGGCAGAGCCAAGCCGCTGCCTACCGCTATACTACTAGACTGTCGCACTTTCGGGCAAAAGTGATACGTAAGGACCAATAAAAAAGATTTATTATGGTATGAAATCGTGCTTAAGCGATAAAGTTTCTTTAGATTGATGGAAATAATGTTTTTTTGTTAGTTCTGTGTGCTACTATTTTACCGTTCATCAAAGATATATCCGTAGTAGTGCAGTGTAGTGAAAGGCATTTGTCGAAATGACACGTGAGTCACTTAAATAACATTACACTTGTCAGAATTTATACGAAATTCTACAAATTCCTTTGCTTCACTTAGATATGCTTCAGTTAGCGTGACGGTAACGTATTCTATAAGAAATTAATTTGAGTGGCTGTTTATATTAAATATCTTAGACGATTAAACGATGCGACTGATACAATATATGCTTTTAGCTAACAAAGAATTGTTAAGGAAACTTGTCAACCATTAGCCCAAGCTAAAATTTTAATAGATTATTAATCTATCTATATATATAAAAATGAATCGCTGTTCGTTAGTCTCGCTAAAACTCGAGAACGCCAAGACTGATTTGGCAAGACTGATTTTGGTCTTGAATTATTTGTGGAAGTCCAGAGAAGGTTTAAAAGGTAGATAAATATGAAAATGATTAGAATTAAAAAAAATAACAATTTTGTTTTTCCTTTGATGCGTTCCCCGTCGGACGGATTCCTTTTGTTTGTTTTAAGTTTATTTTTTACAAAGTTTAGGTCTTTTATTTATCGATTGAGGCACTACGAAGTCTGCCGGGTCAGCTAGTTAGTTATATTAATTTAATAACTGTGCGAGTTACCTTACCTAGCGACATTTCCAATATTAGCGAGTGGCACTTTCTGAGGTATATTTGGAGCCACCACTTTCGGCATCAGGTTGCTGCTGCTGTATTCACCAACATTCATTGATTGACCTGGAGATTTAACGTGATTTGTTTTTGTTACAAGAGAAGCTAGCCAATATACATCAGAACTGGTTGCTGCTAATCTTAAAACAAGAAATCGTAGTTCCAATGGCCTTGAAATGTCAAGATCTCATTAAAACCCATGGTTCTAAAAAGCATAAGCCCTCCTTTTAAACCACTTCGGATATCTATGGGATATTTGGCTTCTTCCTTAATTAGGTGCTTTAGCGGTTGGGCATTTAGTTTTTTGTTCGAACTTGCGCAATTTTGTGCAGACATGGCGTTGTTACAATAATGAACTAATAAGTACTTCACCTGGAGGTAGTCCGAGGCCCCACGCGTTGATATCATTAGCGTCGTTCACGTGAGGCTTAAAGCTGGCTATGGCATTGCGGTGTATATCTGATCCGAGATACCTAAAAACAAAAGATATAATTAATATAAAATATTTTGTCAAATACGTTTTTTCATATACATGTAGTTTTGAGGCTTCCTTACACCCATTTTATAATAATTCCAGTAATTTTTAATTGCTATTTAACACTAAAATATATCTCAAAATTTAATATTTTACGCTGCTTTAGAATATAATCAAATTTTTTTAATTTCCTGAACATTTTACATTTTCAGAGTAGTGCCCTTTTCGAAATTGCTATTTCAATTAAACTCAGCTAATTTTCTATGTATAGGAGCTGCTGTGTGATGTCACTTGTACTCAATAGTTCGCTCTTTTGATCGTGATAACACACGGAACCGTTGATAGTATCAATCTGATGGTATCAACTAGTTTCCCCTAATTGATTATAAATGACTCGGTTGAAAATCCAATGGCTGACTTTAATGCGTTGAAGTGTCGAAATATTGATAATACGACCCCAGTTTGGAGAATTGGATCTGATGAAATCCAAAATAGTCTTATGTTGATTATCTAGAAAGCAGTCTAGAACTAGGGCCTATTATGTATTATTACGTAGCATTTTAGTCTTCTAATAGCATTATGAAATTTCAAACAAACATACTTATCCGGGGCTATTATACATGTGGAATATTTCGATCACTTTGAAACAAATAACATAACGTAATAGCTACTCTCAAACATTATACCACGTTCGTGAACAAGTCCGTCATAGCCGTGAGCTATTGTGAATACAATCACTCACACACAATGTAGCCACAGGCGGGACACGTGCCGTACCGTACTAACGGTAAGTTTTGTAAAGTTTGTAAGCACTCGTAATGCTTACTGTGTACAAATTGTTGACAGCGTAGTTATTATATTGTTGTTTTAAGGCATCAAGTAAGCGTTCGTTGTCTCTCAAAGCAAAATAATAAATATTCACATTGATGTTGTTCGAAACCAATCTGGGGGTTTTGAGTTTTTACCACGGCAACACTGATCGCGATTTGATGGAGCATTCGCGACTTGAGATCTGTCACTTCTTTTCGGACGGAAAGAAACATGCGCGGGTCGGTCTCGCTACGGTTTTCGCCATCCCATATTTTTCCTACCACATCCTCACCCTGAAGCCTCCTATCCTAAGTGATTCAACCAGGTCGTCGGTTCTGGTGAGTGATAAGCCAATATTTTGTTAAGAAAATACATATGGCGTCGCGGATCGCGGCAAGTGTTCGACTGGCCCCTCGTGCTGGTTCCGGAGCCCTAGGCTGCCACAAGGGGGCTGGGTTCAGATTGAACAGACGTATTCGTAAATATATATATATATATATATAATAAATATAGATTCAACGGTGACGTCGTCGATGAATAACACAAGCAGTCATGCCCACGTATGTCGCCCACGACTGATGATGACTACTTGGAAACCAAAAACTGACGCTTTAGAGGCAGTGTCAGAGAGGCTGTATCTCTATTACTATGTAAGCTTGAACATAGTACAGATATGGCGCAGAAACAGGTAGCACCGCTGTGTTGGATTGCAATGATGGAAGGATCGGAGGCTTAGGAATTATTGGGAGACGATGAGAGTACTAGTGAAGCGAAATGATGATGATGAAAGGTCAGCAGTAGCTCGAGGAAGCCGGAGTGGAGTACTCGTCTCTTCTAATCAATAGCCGAATAGATAATTATCACTAATATCTTCTAAATGCGACCCAGAGCCACGACGCCCCAATATGTATGTGGGAACGGAACGGTATGGATGAATGACAGATACGGAGCATGACTGAGTGACAGAGATAGGAGATGTCGTGTTAGGAAGTAAGAAGAAGACTGCGAATGAATGCTGAACACATAGCTTAATTTTTTATTCGAGAGGAGTCTAGTTACTGGACGCGACGGTGGACAGACGCGTTGTAGCTCTGAAGACGTAAGACGTTTGTATTTTACTTACATAAATTAAGAAAGACGTAACAGAAATCAAGTTTCTGTGAAGTCATCAACTATTTCACTGGCCCAACGCGAATAGAAAACCCCACATGTATATTACAGTGAATTTGAGCGCACTTACTCGCTGCCGAGCCCTGGTCCAGACAGTTCCCAGTCCTGTGGGTAGTGCTCGAAGCCAGGCGCGCTATTCTGCCCATGATTCTTCACCAGCACTGACCCGTGGGTTTGATGGCCATAAACTGGAGCATGTGGTACCTGTAAAAATGTATAAAAATACATTTTATTTAAGTTGTAATGTAAGTAAGGCAATGACTGATATGAAGTAAATGTGAAAATCTATCAGCCGACTAGCTTTATCCGTAATGGCAAACCAGGCATACGAAAGAAGCTGGAGCCGTAAGACAGACCAGAACTAATGAAATATTGTAGATGCACCTTTAGATATGAGTTTTAAGGTCTCAGTATAGTTATAACGGCTTCCCTACCCTTCAAACCAAAACGCATTACTGCTTCACGGCAGAGATAGGCGGGGTGGTGGTACCTACCCGTGCGGACTCACAAGACGTCCTACCACCAGTAAAAAAAATGACAAAACAATTGGCATTGACCTTTTTCTATTTTGCTTTGATTGTAAAATCATTTCGAAGCTTCTCATGCTCATTAACAGTACTCATTATCACCAGAAAGTAAATAGACTCCGAGTACATTATTGTAAGATTAACAAGAAAGTTAGTAATGAGGAATACGCAACAAATCACAGATCGGCATGCTTATGTTAATCACGCAACGTTCGTTCCATATGATAATGAAAAGAAAATGTGGCGGCAATTAAAATTCCGTGGAGCGTGACCGTATTATATGGCACCGGCATCTCTACGTCGTATGAGGACAGGGACACACTAGACAACCAGTGGTCCGGTGTTCAATAGCAGAGTTTACTTAATTGGAGCTACCTAGAGAGGAGAATTGTGTACTTGGCAGGCATCGAAGCAATAGAATCTTCGACTAAAGAAGCAAAGCGCAATCGCCAAACCTATAACATGTGTGGAGATTACCACTGTTACTTGGACGACGAAACCCTTGTACGAACTTCTCTCAGTGGTATCTATGGATATTATGAAGTCTTTCTTGGAAGAGAAGAGCGTCACCACTTTTACCGAATTTTAAACACCACTTTCAAACAATTCCCTTTTTATGAGTTGTTACCCAATTCCGAACTATTATATAAAAACGCGACTGCCGAGTATCTCACTCTGAAATAGCTGTGTTATCTTGTATCACCCTAAGCCATATTAGGTTAGGGTTAACGACCACAATCCATAAAAACACTACCTATTTGAAAAATATATATTGAGTATTGAAAATAGGCAACAAAAAGCCTTACCTTGTGATGATGCGTGATCAAATGATGATGGTGATGATATTTCGTAGTGTGGTAGTTTTGGTGATACCACGAGCACAATTTGAAGATGTGACTTAGGGCAGGAAACAGGAATAGCAGAAGCTTCAGGAACATCTTTTTGGCTGTGGTCACTCCCAGTATCAGAGGCAGGACAAACACTAATTTCAAAGCTATCAGCTTGACCACTAACACTATCGCTATCAGGGCTGTCAGTAGTTTCTTCTTAATTGCTTTTTCTGTAATTAATTTTTTTCTCTTTAGTTACATTCATAACATTTCTTGAAATTCTAATGGAGCTATTTTCTCTAAAATGTAATATGAACTATCTAATTTAAGCCTGACTAAAAAAAATACTGGATTTTGTTTTTAATTTTTTTTATTATTAATTGAAATTTGTTACTGTTAAAAATTGCATGATTGCTAAGTTTTACTTAACATGACGATTCCTTTCTTTTCCAAAGTTCAAATATATTGTTGGAAAAAAAAACTGCGGCACTGAAAATAACGGATCTGATAACATCTATAAAATATGTTAAAAAAATAAAAACTGAGCCGAAATATGTCATTGAACTTATTTATTCTTTTTTTTTTTGTAGCTGTAACAGTTCAGGATGTAAGAGGGGAATCAACATAAAAATTTGGAAAGCATTAAGATTCTAAGTTATAAAAAATTTAAGAAAAAAAAAGTTTTATTATTAGGTAAAACTGTCCATCAAATTGGATTACAGTTGAAAGAGGTCGTTTCGAACTAATGAACTAAAATAAATAACTTCGTAAAGGCTAGTCTATACTGTGCTTTAAATAAATAAAAACACATTTGATTCTTTATTAAATGTGTTTCTTTCTCATGAACAGCGATTGTGTCTTCTGATGATACCCTCAGAGTAAGTACAGCTTATACCACCTTTGATAATCTATTTTATGTCTATGGTAGACCTGTTTTTTAAAATTTTTATTGCCCCTGTAGGCTTCGTGAGTGGTTACCGTCACCCATGGACTTCTGCAATGCCAGGGGCAGAGTCAAGCCGCTGCCTACCGCAATTGGCGGCCGAGCCGTGGAATCATCCGTCAATGCCCAGCAAAAACTTGTACTTACTGATCTTCTGCAAGAATATCCTTCCCTCGCCATTCTTGTTTTCTCTCGGCTCTAAATCCACGTGGATTAGAGCCCCGGACTTGGTCAAAGCTCTGGGGGCTATCTTTAATGTAGCCCCTTGGAAGAAGTACTCCGGTAAGGTCAAGGTCATGTCGTGAGTCATGAAAAAGTTGACTCCTTTATCGTATAAGCCATTTGTGACTTCTTCGAATGGAGAATCTGTGAAATGAAATATCAATATTAAGAAAAGTTGATCAAGCTCACGACCCATCTTATTTTAAGTGATTACCTAAAGCGATACATATCACGCATGTATGCCGCCTCTCACCTGGAGGCACGACGTCGAAGTCTCAATATCCATGAGACAGACCTCATAAATAATCAAGTTCGCCATTTCCAACGAGAATTTGTGTTAATTGAAACAACTTTGTCTTCTTATGATGTCAATGGGCTCTACAGTCTTTCACCCGTGTAAAGCTTTGCAAATAAAAAACTAACAAACCAATTGCACTTAATGCAATCACGGTAAGGACGTCTTAAATATCGCTAATTCCTTAAATTTAAATGTACACATTATGTATATGTTTAGAATAATGAAAAGTTTTTAAAACCCTATTCGACAGTAAAATACATCAATGAAGTCACTGAAAACCAAAGTGTGCATTTATTTGAAAGATATATTATTATTTCATAAGGACCAATACTGAAAGTATCCATTTTCAAATAAAAAAAGAATTTTTCAAGTGACGGAGTAATTTCCAAGTTCAGACGTAACAAACATTAAATAAACTTATCCTAATCAAGAACCGGTTCAAACCAGTCAAGATCTAAATAAAAATGTTTTTTATTCAAACTTTAAAAACGCCTACGCAAGCCTCGCAGCTGCTTTTGATACGTCATGACTTTGCCACCGATTCGGAATGCAGTTTCACTACCTACTGAGAAGAACCAACAAGCAGTTTAGGATTTGTCTTAAAAAAAAATTCTATTATATTAAGTACGTTATTTACATATCAAATATTTACTATAAAACATATTTAAACCAGTACATATAATAAATAGAACTATTGCTAAGACAAGGTCACGCCATATGACTTATTAGAGTAAGGAAACTTCTTTCCCGGTTTTTTTTGAGAAATTAAAATCAGTGAGAGCGTCTCAGCGTGAATTTTTATCGCATATATCCACTCACTTTCCAAAGCGAAGTGGCACAATGCGCTTATACATTTGACACCATAGCGCTGCGACTTCCGATACATCTCACCTGTTTTTTTCTGTTTTGTGACGTATGTGCTCACGATCCACTTTTTCGATTGTTCTAAGCGACAATATGCAGAGGAGTAATTTCAATTACTACACGATAATTAGTGCTGATATTGTCAATGAACTCTGATACATAGTCTGTAGTAGCTTTCACAACATTAGACTTGTGATATTGCAGTATTTCAAATTGTACCTAATCAGTTCCAATATTGATATAGATGAGAGCATTTTGAGATGAGACATTTTAGATTTTAATAAAGTCGTTTTAAAAATTATAGTTCAGGTTATCATTATGATCAACATCATTGAAAAGTAATCATATAAGTCATATGAAAAACTATTAAACTTTTTTTTTTACTTTAAAATTAAGCTTTTCATAAAAGGTTCGATGGTGGTAGGACCTCTTGTGAGTCCACACGGGTAGGTAACACTACGGCCTATTTCTGCCGTGCAGCAGTAATGCGTTTCGGTTTGAAGGGTGGGGCAGCTGTTGTAACTATACTGAGACTTTAGAACGAATATCTCAAGGTGGGTGGCACATTTACGTTGTAGATATCTATGGGCTCCAGTAACCACTTAACACCAGCTGAGCTGTGAGCTCGTCTACCCATCTAAGCAATAAAAAAAAATTTGACTTCCGATCTCAGGAGTTTTACCTTTTCTTATTGACCCACATTGACACATAAGGTCTACTTTTCAATGGTGTCGTATAATGGCTGTATTACAGCCCATTCTGTATAGGGGGTTCCAGGTTCTACAAACCTGGATTTATTGCAGCTTCTTGGTTGTGTTAGTCCATTGGGCCCCACTAAGAGCAAGATGTAGTAATATATTTCATAGAAGCATTTCAGAATTGTAGTAATAAGCCTTCGCGTTTTTTGCTTGTCAACGTTGCATCCCACGTTACGAGAAATCATGCAGTTTCTATAATGATTATGAGAATATTGCGCCTTTGATGTTACGGAAACGACGCGAGCGCATTGTTCCTATTTACTACTACTATATATCCGTTTACATATAATTGAAAATCAATGTTTTTTGTGTCTATTCACGTTCTTACACGATTCATTCGATGTGGTAGCCGTTGTAACTATACTGAAACCTTAGAACTCATATCTCAAGGTGGCGGCGGCATTTACTTTGTGGGTGTGTATGGGTTCCGGTAGCCATTCGGTTCGTTTGGAACCTTTGGGTCTGCGGAGGGACTTCGGTTCCCTCTGTATTTTGTACCAAATGTTCCATGGGGAGTGCTCTGAGGAATTGTTCGAGATGATACCGGCATCTCGTTTTTACCATCGCACCGCCCGCCACCGGAGTAGAGTTCATCCATACTACCTGGAGCCACTGCGGGCATCAACAGTGCGTTTCCAGAGGTCTTTTCTGCCACGTACCATCCGGCTATGGAATGAGCTCCCCTCCACGGTGTTTCCCGAGCGCTATGACATGTCCTTCTTTAAAAGAGGCTTGTGGAGAGTATTAAGCGATAGGCAGCGGCTTGGCTCTGCCCCTGGCATTGCTGAAGTCCATGGGCGACGGTAACCACTCACCATCAGGTGGGCCGTATGNGGTCTTTTCTGCCACGTACCATCCGGCTATGGAATGAGCTCCCCTCCACGGTGTTTCCCGAGCGCTATGACATGTCCTTCTTTAAAAGAGGCTTGTGGAGAGTATTAAGCGATAGGCAGCGGCTTGGCTCTGCCCCTGGCATTGCTGAAGTCCATGGGCGACGGTAACCACTCACCATCAGGTGGGCCGTATGCTCGTCCAAACATCAAACAATAAAATAAAAAAAACAATCTCCGGTTTCGGTAGTATAGAGGATCTTAGCTAAGAGCCAAATCATCATTTCGGATTTGTCCACAATTAATAAAATTGTTATTAAGTTTAATTACTGGTGGTATCATGAGTTCGGTAGGTGGGTTAATTCACCCTGCGTTTTCGTTATGTCGCACATGCGTTCTGGTTTTAGTCGTGGAACAATTGTTAAAGACGACAATTAAGAGATTGTAATGCTTTAGGGAATGATGTACACAGTATGCAACAGTAGACGTATGTATAGTTTTCCACCCATCTACTGCGAAAAAAAAAACAATAAAATCCTCAACTCTACTTCTAGGCCAGTAAGCCAACCTGTTTCAACAATGCAACTTGCAAAACCACACATAAATTATACGCGAGGGCCGTCATAAATCATATTTTATGTCAGAGGTTTGAAGTAAGACGCTTTCGAACATACGATATGTATTGTGGTTTGGGCGATGTCAACCTTAGGTAAAGCGAAGACTCGAGAAATGCGGCCGAGAGGATGCGGAGGACATGAGGGCCAAGCTCTCGCTAATTAACTTCAGTCTAATAGATCGGACATAAAACATGAGTTTTTTATTTTTTTATTGCTTAGATGGGTGGACGAGCTCACAGCCCACCTGGTGTTAAGTGATTACCAGAGCACATAGACAACTACAACGTAAATGCGCCACCCATCTTGAAAGTTCTAAGGTCTCAAGTATAGTTACAACGGCTACCCCACCCTTCAAACCGAAACGCATAGTAACTTCACGGCAGAAATAGGCGGGGTGGTAGTACCTACCCGTGCGGACTCACGAGAGGTCCTACCACCCGTAAAATCGCGAATTAAGGCCATTCTAATAGATCGGACATATCACATGTGTGTATTATACACGAAATATTCTCGACGGATGATTTAGCAGTGGCCTGAGTTTGGGACGACTTGGCGTCGCTCGGTGGAGCAGGAGGTAGGCATCTTGGGCATGACGTGGTAGGACCTCTTGTGAGTCCGCGCGGGTAGGTACCAACACCCTATCTATTTCTACCGTGAAGCAGTAAGCAGTTTCGGTTTAAAGGGTGGGGTAGCCGTTGTAACTATACTTGAGACCTTAGAACTTATATGTCAAGGTGGGTGGCAGATTTACGTCGTAGATATCTATGGGCTCTAGTAACCTCTTAACACCAGGTGGGTGGTGAGCTCGTGAAACCATATAAGCAATAAAAAAAAAAGCTAGAACAGACTGCCCAAGGCCGATGTAAATAGAAGGAATTCACGCGAGCCCTACACCCCAGCAGAGGGTAATAGGAAAGAAAGAAGAAGAAGAGTTTAGGATGAAAGGGAAGCAGTTGGCTTGTTTGGTTGCATGAGTTTTTACTAGATGTAGATGCAAATAAGTAATAACATAGTGCTCTAATAGACGTCATACAAATATTTTTTGTTAAAATTTATATTTATTAAATTATAATATCTATATATTTAATATATGAAGTAAAAACTTTGTACCCCTTTTTACGAAAATTGCGCGGACGGAGGAGTATGAAATTTCCCACACTTATAGAGAATATAAAGAGGTAGTGCAGAATAGTATCTTTTTTTTTAATTATGAATGAACAATACGTTAAATCAATAAAAAAACATTAAACACACTATATTGCTTATCAATATGTGGTCAAATTGAGAATAGATTACTATTATTAATATTGTTTATCTTTGATATTATTGGTCTATAGATGATTATTAGAAAACTAATATAATAAAAACAATAATTATTATAGAAATGTGACAATAGAACTATAATAATGTTCAGACTAATAATTTAAATTAATTATAGCCGAATTTCGAGCACTGGACAACCACTAGTTAATATAAATGTATAATATATTCTGTATATCAATATATAGATATTAACAATGTAAGATAATAAAAGCTCACGGTCGGCCCGTTGTTAACTTGTTGGCGGGGTCCATGGGCATCGCAACATGAATGCAGCCACTGACCTTGAGACATGAGGTTGTCGTCCCATTGTTATTGTATAACGGTCGTGCTTTCAAACCTCGTATCAGTACGGAGCAGTAACTGTAGATTTGACTCACTAATGGTCTTGCATAATTAATTGTAATTTTATTACCAAGTTGTTGTTGTTTTTAATATAAACTACATTCTAGAAATGGAAAGTATTGATACGCTCGGAGAAAGCATAACAGCTAATTTGATATGCTAATGTCGTTTTTGTCGAGTGAGATTTAAAGATTACATTTGGATGCGAAGCTTTTGAAAATACAATAGCTTATTGTGTAACTGTTATATATAATAGCCACATAAAGATTAAAATTATATTCGCCCGCATAAATTATGTTACGATTTTTAATGTAAGAATCCTCAAATATATTAACTTACTGATGTTATATATATTTTTTTGTTTTAAAAGCTTTTAGAGATAATTAATTATGTAAAAATGGTCACTCTGGTAGGATGGTGGTACCGACCCACACCGGCTTGCTATTTGCTTGAGCATCTTCATTTTGCGTCATGTATATTCATATCGACCTCTTGTGAGTCCGCGCGGGTAGGTACCACCGCCCCGCCTATTTCTGCCGTGAAGCAGTAGTGCGTTTCGATTTGAAGGGCGGGGCAGCCGTTGTAACTATACTTGAGACCTTGGAACTTATATCTCAAGGTGGGTGGCGTATTTACGTCGTAGATGTCTATGGGCTCCAGTAACCACTTAACACCAGGTGGGCTATGAGCTCGTCCACACAATTGCCCGGTTTGATACACAAAACTGTAATAGGCTTACCTGGTTCATCCTCCTCAACTTCATTATCGTCCGCACTTCTTGCACCATCAACCCCGTCATCCGCACTCACCCTGTCCAGGTCCACATTGTTCCGCTTAAAGCACACACTGTCACTCACTTTCAAATCATTGTTCATCCGGAAGCGATCGTCTAAGTACCAAAAAAAGTTTTTTTGCAAGCAGCTCACGCTAGGCTCCGCTGTGCATTGGTTCAGTACGTTGTCCCACAGTTGGTGACCGGTCCTGAACGTCCCATTTCGATAAACGTCATTAAAATATCCCCCGGAAAGCTTCTCGACAAGTCTCAGTCCCGTTTTGTAGGCGGACTCGGCGTCCGTCCGGCCCGTGGACAGCAACACTAGCGTCGTCACCGCAATTACTTTCACCATTGTGTCTAATTTTATCGGCTTCATTGTTCCTTGAGTCTTTTCAAGTCTTCAATGCCATTTTACAATCGTGGTCAGCTGTTAGTGGTTATTAGTCTTTGTCTATTTTGTGGTGGTGTCATCTGAAACAAAGGTTGATATTTCAATTGTAATTCTAACTATAATGGAATATTCTGGGCTTTGTAACTTGTGAGTTCAAAGTCATGACTCAAGGTTATGTGTATGGAGTTTCGTAACCGAGGCGATAAAAAAAGCATTTGCGAAGATTGAAATTTGTTTACGATTTTTGATATCAAGATGAAAAATATTTATCACATTTAATGATGAGCTTAAAGTTACTGAGTTATCGCAACTTCCATATAATGTGAATAATCAATTAATTAAAATCTTAAAACATTTTATTAAAATTATATTCGTATCTTTAGATATTATCTAATTTTTTTTTAACAGCAATAAAAGGCTTATTATTATCTTTAGATATTATTTATGGAAATTTCTACCCTAAATTACACGTTTAAAAATATATATACATAATTCGAAATTTCATTCATTCCAGTTTAATATAATAGTATTGTGATAACTTTAAAAAAATATATATTATGCTCTAGTAACCATACCCAGACTGATTCTCTCATTCTCAAAATTTCACCCATTGAAATTGCGACCGACCATGTATCCTGGGTTATTTCAATCAATAATTAGTAAGCGCCGATAATTAGTACAATTACGCAAGTAACAAACCAAGTTATTATTACTTGCGTTATAATATAAGTCTTGGCGTACGGGTGCATACCATAGACTCATATCAGACGCCTAGTCCGGAAATTTAGTTGCATAGTGGATATAGGAATCGCTAAATAAAAAAAAATGGGTAGAACCACGGTGGCCTATGTATTTATATATTATGAGCATATTGTACTAGTAAAGTCAGCTTTTATTGATGAGCAAATGGGCATATGGCCCAATGATGACGAGTGGTCACCGTGGCTCATGGAAGCCAGCAATACCAGGAACAAAGCTAAGCCGCTGCCTACTGTCGTGTGACGTAGGACCGCTAGTTCATTGAGCAGACGCGGTTTGGATAGAGACTGATTGATGCTCGGAGAAATTGTTTGATTCCGTGAAATTGTTGGATAATTCTAATAATCTAATATTTACAATGGTGTTTGTGTTTGTTGATTAGAGCATGTAGTTTTGATAAGTTGTAATGTGTGGTTCCCTTTTTCTTTTTTTCTTTTTTTTATTGCTTCGATGTGTTGACGAGCTCACAGCCCACCTGGTGTTAAGTGGTTACTGGAGCCCATAGACATCTACAACGTAAATGCGCCACACACCTTGAGATATAGTTCTAAGGTCTCAGTATAGTCACAACGGCTGCCCCACCCTTCAAACCGAAACGCATTACTGCTTCACGGCAGAAATAGGCAGGGCGGTGGTACCTACCCGTGCGGACTCACAAGAGGTNCCTTGAGATATAGTTCTAAGGTCTCAGTATAGTCACAACGGCTGCCCCACCCTTCAAACCGAAACGCATTACTGCTTCACGGCAGAAATAGGCAGGGCGGTGGTACCTACCCGTGCGGACTCACAAGAGGTCCTACCACCAGTAATTACGCAAATTATAATTTTGCGGGTTTGATTTTTACTGCACGATGTTATTCCTTCATAGTGGAAGTCAATCGTGAACATTTGTTGAGTACGTATTTCATTAGAAAAATTGGTACCCGCCAGCGAGATTCGAACACCGGTGCATCGCTCGATACGAATGCACCGGACGTCTTATCCTTTAGGCCACGACGACTTCAAATCATTCAAATTCTATGAATGAAGAGAGCTAAAACAATTGTGAAATTGTTTTGATGTAAACGAGCTTAAGTTTATCTGACTCACATGTTTTTCAATTGGTGAGTCTGAATTTCTAGTATTTCTTTCGAAAGCTAGTGGCGGTCTATTCCGGATTTGATATTAATCATATCGAAAAACATATTAATATATTGATTGACATCAAAGATATACTAGTATCGGCTTGCTTAAGTGTTCTTGAAATAGTAATCAGTACGACTCACGGAAACTGATATCAATATCACCATATCAATTAAATAAAATTATAATAATTATACGGTTTAAGCTCGTGTTTATTTCTGTTATATTTAATAAAGCTCACATTTCGAATGTTCATCAATTTACTAAAGCTGTGAAGTTTAAAAAAGTAGTTTTATTTACTCTACAATTCGCCAAAACCAGATTATTTCAATTGTAAATATAATAAAATATCCTAGCTGATGTTGAGATCTTGCGGAAGGATTTGAATTTTCTAACTGCGAGCTTGCATAACAATGCTTCGATAATTTCGAATAGAAACGAACCATATTTATTACATAAAATTCAATTTAAGCTGAGCTTACTCAGAAGAAAGCTGTAAAGTTGAATAATAAAAAGTAAAAGTTAAATATCAGGTCGAAGAAATTCTTGTTCGTATGTTGTACACGCTCGTACATAAATCAGAACAACGCTACTTGCTCTTGAATAAATTTCGTCAAAATGACAAAAACTGTGATTTCACTTATTCATAACTAAATTCAGCTACTCAAAAACTATTACTCGTCACAGTTCTATGTACTATATAGCTGGTAGTGTACATAATGGAAGAGAGTTTTTAAAAATTTTTACTTTAAAAGAAATATCTTACTGGTGGTAAGACCTTTTGTGAGTCCGGGTGGGTTTGTACCACCACCCTGCCTATTTCTGCCGTGAAGCAGTAATGCGTTTCGGTTTGAAGGGTGGAGCAGCCATTGCAACTATACTGAGACCTTAGAACTTATATCTCTAAGTGGGTGGCGCATTTACGTTGTAGATGTATATGTGCTCCAGTAACACTTAACACCAGGTGGGCTGTGAGCTCGTCCACCCATGTAAGCAATAAAAAAAAACAAAAAAAATATATCTCCTCGGAATGAATTGTCAATCACTTGCCGCTCTTTTCAAAGATTGTTTGAAGAAGGATTTTCATTGTAGAGTTTCAAATTGGTAATTATTCTTGTTTTATGTTTGTAAATGGACCAAACCCAGCTATATCTCTTCATAATTTACAAATAGTGTCATTAACGTGTCAATGTCGTGGTTCAAATTCTACAACAGGTACCCATTTTAAGATATAACATTTATAGTTTTAAAAATATCGTTATTAATGGGCCTAACGTGAGTCCACTCGGGTAAATATCAACATTCTGTGAAGTCATCAGTCGTTACGCTCTGACATGTGAGAAAATTGTTGTATAATGTAATTGAGATTTCGCTCTCTGATCTGTCAATATGGATGGGTGTTAACATTGATGAACTTAGAGCACAAGTTAATTAAAGTCACAAAACTAGAGTGACAGACATGTGAAGTATCAAGGTATATTACCTTCATACACGGCCGTAGCAGTGGGCTACCATTAATGACAATAAAAAGAACCTAAAAATTAGAATATCTAATATATATAATTGCTTAAATGGGTGGACAAGGTCACGGCCCACTTGATGTTAAGTGGTTACTGGAGCTCATAGACATCTACATCGTAAATTTCACCACCCACTTTGAGACATGAGTTGTGAGGTCTCGCTTTTAACAGTACAACGGCTCCCCTGCCCTTCAAACCGAAACGCATTACCGCTTCACGATAGAAATAGGCAGGGTGGCGGTACCTACCCGTGCGGACTCACAACACGTCCTACCACCAGTAATTACGCAAATTATAATTTTGCGGGTTTGACTTTTATAACACGATGTTATTCCTTCACCGTGGAAATCAATCGTGAACATTTGTTAAGTACGTATTTCATTAGAAAAATTTGTACCCGCCTGCAGGATTCGAACACCGGTGCATCGCTTGATATTAATGCACCGGACGTCTTATCCTTTAGGCCACGACGACTTCGGCGAGTCATTAAGTTTAGGCAAAACTGTATGTCACACTAAAACTGTGTTTTTAGAACGTCTCACCAATGGATCGATCTTAAGCTGACAATATAATGGCATCAATATTTGAACTTTCACGCAAGTGGGGTCATACAGAGATGTACTGAAAAATATCTCGGCACAGTACGTCTCCTTTCTTCATTCATTTCTATCACACATCATCTCTGCTCTCGTACCATTCTCTCGAATATTCTCATTCACACACTTCATTCATTATTTTTTAGAATACTTCACCCTTGCTGAAATAATATCTATTGAAATTCAATTATGTTCTACAAAATTTACAAAGATATTGAATCATGATGATTAATTGTTTATTTTTTGCTGACGTTCTAGTAACCTGTTGGATGGTCGGTGGTAAACAGAAGCCGACTCAAGGTCACCTTTAACCTGCGTATTTCAAATGATATTGCATGTAGCGAATAAACATCTCAATCATTTGACGTGGTGTCATCGAATCTACCTATGCCGGTGTTCAAGTCCTGTAGGCAAGTACCAAAATTTCTAATAAGCATTTAGTACTTTCTTACGAATTACTCCCTCGAGAAACGGATAATTATCACATAAGAATCTTGTCAGAAATCTTTTTTTTTTTATTGCCTAGATGTGTGGACGAGCTCACAGCCTACCTGGTGTTAAGTGGTTACTGGAACCCATAGACATCTAAAACGTAAACGCGCCACACACCTTGAGATATAAGTTCTAAGGTCTCAGTATAGTTACAACGGCTGTCCCACCCTTCAAACCGAAATGCATTACTGCTTCACAGCAGAAATAGGCAGGGCGGTGGTACCCAGTCGATAGTCAGAAAAGAATCCAATCGGTAAAGATAATAATTTTTTGTAAGTAGTGGTATTGCAAAGTAACAGTATCTACCATCATTGTTCCTATTTCTTCCGCAAAAGTTGGTTAAGAGTTGACCTTCAGACCTGAAATCTCGAAGTAGGTCGTAGAATTCATTTTTTATGGCATACATATATAGCCACTTAACACCAGACGAGCCGTGAGCTCGTTCACTTAACTAACATAAAAATTAAAAGGAACAATGTTTACAAATTTTATTTTGTCTACTATTTTTTGTGCACCTATTCATTTGATTTAGAGCTTTTAGGGTCAATATCGCGTCTGTATGCACCGAATGACGCAGCTTATTTTCTCCGC